TCAGCTGCCCAGAGCCACCAGCCTTCCACATCCAGCCACCCACTGCCCTGGCCAGTGAGATGGGGGCTGCAGGTGGCCCAGCCAGGCCAGCAACCAGCAGCAGCAGGGTGTCGGACCCCAGGAGGCAGGCACGGCTGGCTGGGGAGAGCTCCCTCCCTAAGGCCCCTCCACCTGTTGCCCAGCCCCTTGCAGCCCCATCAGCTGCTGCTGCCCAGCCCAGCAAGGTCCCATCTGCAGCACCAGCTCAGCACAGAGCAGCCCCCCAGGCTGCCCCCACCCAGCCTCTGGAGGAGCCCTCAGGTGTAGCCCCTACCCAGCTCCCAAAGACTCCCCCAGCTGCCATCTGTTGCCCTGCAGAGGTGTCCCCTGCTGCTGGCCCTGCTGGGGAGTCCCCTGGTACCCACCTCGTTGAGAAGGCTTCAAGGCCAAGCAAGGAGGCAGAGGAGAAAGCCCCGCTGGAGCCTAGGGTAGCTGTTGGGCCAGAGCTACCCACCCAGAAATCCATCTCCCAGGCTGTGCCACCACCACCAAAAGCGGGCCGAGAGAGCAGCCTGTCCACCAAGGCACCTGTCACGCGGTTATGGAGGCACCAGCCGCTCCGCAGCCCAGCGCAGCCCAGCAACAGCAGCAAGGACATCGTGCAAGCCTTCATCAGTGAGATCGGTGAGCAGGCGGGCTGTGGGGCACTGGGTGGGCATCACCAGCTGGGGAGGCTGTGGTGCTGCTGGTGGCTGTGGGTAGTGGGACTGGTTCCTGGCACTTCTGTGGACAAGGGTGGCAAACCTGCAGGCTTGCAGTCGCTTCCCAGCACTCTGCCAGATGTTGCCTCCACAGGGTGGTCTGAGCTGGCTGTGCCCAAACTGGTCCTCTTGGAGCTGCAGAGCTGGGTGCTCCTGTCTTCACTGTGGGAGACTGCTCAGCACTCAGCCCATCAGCCAAGGAGGCTGATGCAGAGGGGGGATGGGACTGGGCTGCATCCCTATGGTGCTGTGGGGATTTTGGCTGACCTGACTTGCTATGCTCTCTCCCCGGTCCAGGGATCGAAGCCACTGACCTGTCCAGCCTGCTGGAGCAGTTTGAGAAGTCTGAAGGTGCGGTTGCAGTGTGCAGGGCCATCCCCACAGGGCTCCCTTCATGCTACATTGGCCTCCTTGGGCTGCCCATTCTCCCTGCAGTGGGGTGGGAGTGGGGGAGCTGGGATGCTGCTGCCTACAGGCTGGTGTTACCCTGACCGAGTGTCTTGTCTTGGGGGTTTCTCTGCCTCCATCTCTTTCCTGGCCTGTGAAAGTGTTTTCAGGGGTCCCTGGGGTAGCAAAGGGGTTGGTGAAGAGCCTGGGAAAGAGAGGGAACTTCCAGCAGCTTTCTTCAAGCTCTTGAGCATCATGAAACCTCTCTCTGGGGTGCTCTGTGTCTGTCCCGATTTGCAAGGTCTGTCCCCTGCCCCTCCAGCCCCAGTCTTTCCTCACCTCACCCACTTACTCTCATTTCAGGCAAGAAGGAGGAGGCTCCTGTGCAGCCCCCTGAGGAAAAACGGCCTGTGGTGAGCTCTGGGTGAGTACTGAGACCTCCACAGCCAGTGGCCCACCATGGAGCCTGGCAAAAGTCTGAGACCTGCCTTCTCTGGGCCCATGGGTGAGCTCTCTGTTCTAGCAGGGTCCAGACTGTGCCAGGAGTTTCATCGACAGGCCCCTCATTGGACTGGGGGCCAGAGTTGGCACCGAGAAGGGAAAATTAGGGGAAGCAGTGAAGGGCATGATCTGGCATTGCAAGCTCCATCCTTGCAGCTCTCCCAGATCTCTCTTCCCCCTCTGGGCTGGGGGGCAGCTTGGGCAGGTGCCCCAGGAGTGGGTACTGGGCTTTGGCTGCTGTGTTTGACAAAGCTCCTTTCCCCTTCTCAGGCCTGAGACCCAGCAGGACAGGAAGCCTCTGGACAGCCTGCAGGCCTCTGAGCTGGCCAATGTGGCAGGTAATGCCTGTGTCTGGGCAGCAACTGTCATGGAACTGGGGGAGACTCCAGGGCTTGAGGGAAGGTGTACAGGGAGGAGAGCCCTGGCTGGGTGGGTTGCAGTGAGGGGCTGCTCTTGAAAGACCTCTGGTGCTCCCACAGGCCTCACCCCCCCAGCGACGCCCCCCCACCAGCTCTGGAAGCCATTGCCTGCTGTCTTGCTGCTGGCCCAGGCCAAGTCACCCGGGTCTGTGACCCCAGAAGGGCCCCAGAAGACGACCAAGCTGATGAAAGCCAAGCTGCTGCCTGCAAGCAAGCTCCAGGGAAAGGGCCTGGCATCAGCCCCTGTGGTCTCAGCCCCCAGCCATGTCTGCTCTGGAGACCATGACTACTGCATCCCAGGTGTGGCACAACCGGAGAGCAATGGCAGCCCCAGCACACAGCCCCTCACCGAGGGCGGCTCCCGCTGGAATGTCAAACACCACCGGGACATCACTATCAAACCCATCTCCTCCTTAACCAAACGGACGCTGGAGCAGCCTGAGCCCACCCTGCAAGCCCCCACCACCACCGTGGGGCCCAGCCAAGAGCCCCTGGCTTCAGCTTGCGTAGCCCCCCTGGATTATCGGACTAGTGTCCCCAGCAAGTCCGCTGCTGACTGCAGCAGCCCCCCCACCTCGGTGCTCCTGTCTCCAGCTGCATCTCCCTGCCGGGACAAGGAGATGCAGACCCCCAGCACCCAGCCCAGCAGTGCTGCTGCCAAGAGGTCCCTGCGCTGCTATCGGAGACCTCAGGACTCACCCAGCCCCTCTGCCAGCAGCTGGAGGGCTGGCCGGAGTCGTGCCAGCCGCTCTTTCAGCTCCAGTTCAGATGGAGCTAGTGAGTCCTCATCTTCATCCTCATCCTCCCGATCCCGGTCCCGGTCATTCTCCCCACCACCCAAGCGGTGGCGAAGGTGAGTGTTGGATCATCTCTCTGCTTGCTCTGTGGGTCATTGTCTGGTGGCCAGTCTTTTGGGAGGGTGGCCAGGCAGGTTTTTATGGATCTATTTGATGTTTGTATTTGATCTTTTTGTCTTTGGCATCCTTCTGAAGAGGTGCCTGGCTCACACAAACTGAGGGAACTGCTGTGATAGCCTGTCAGTGGATGTCTTGCAGAATCCCATGTCTGGACAGGTGTGCCTGCAAAGCCACCATTGAACAAGGCTTCCGTTCCTCTTCAAACACCATTGTACAAGTCCTTGGCTGCACCTTGGCTTTTGGATGCTCTTTCTGACTGCTGGTGCAGCCCAAGATGTAGGAATAAGAAGAAGCCACAGTGGAGCCCTTGAGGGAGCTGCTGGAGGCAAGCAGAGGAAAACCTGTCTGGCTTGGCTGCCTCAGGGATTCCCTGTGCTCCTCATGGAGGTGGCTGCGTAGGAAAGTGGGGCAGCTTGGTCTCTGTGGGATGTCTTTCTTTTGGAGTTGTGCACCTGTGCCAAGTGTAGCCTGTCTCAGCTGGGGTGGGAGGCACTGGAGCTGACAAGGGATCCCTCATCCACCCTTCCCTGGGTGTTCAGCCAATTCTGGAGACATCCCAGGCCACCAGGCATGACGGACTTGTCCAATAAAGGCTGCTCCATCGGTGGCCCATAAGGGTGGAGGCTGGAGCTGGAATGGACACATAGTGCCATATTCCAGGGATGTGCAGCTCAGGGACTTGCCCTGTCTGGCTTGGCTTTCAGCAAGTGCAGCTAGCCCTGTGCTGGGAAACGTCTCCAAAGACTGTGCCATCCTGACCTGCTGTCCTTCTGGAGAATATGTGGCAGTGTCAGGCAGCAGATCCTGCTTTGGGACCTATGGTGCAGACCACCTGTGGGCAGCATGTTTAGAGAGGGACCCTGCTGCTGGCTGGAGGCAGCACAGCTTGATCCCAGAGGCCTTTCAGTCCAGCTGCCCTTAAGCTTTGCCAGACCCTGCCAGAGAAGCTCTTGTGGGCAGGAGGATGTTGGCACAGAAAAGCCCAGCCCTGTCCCAGGACATGCCACAGCGCTCGGTGTGTTTGGAGGCATGTTTGGTCTCTGTTCACAGGGCTGTTGAGTACATGGCAGATGTGATGGCTCCAGTGTCATCCTGTGCACAATGTGGGGCTCAGCACAGCAGCCCCAGCCCCATGACTATGTCTTGTTCTTCAGAGGCTGTGTCTGGTGTGAGCCTGCTCCTGTTTTGCTGCAGTGTTTGGAGCCACGTGGAGCAACATCTCTGTAGTGTCATTACTGCCAAGCAAACTCAGGCAGAGGTTTCCATAGCCCAGCTCACCCTGGGGATGGGTCCTGTCCAAGTGGAATTCTGGGTCCTTTGGGGAAGGTGGAGGTTTTTTCTTCTCTGGAGCCTTGCAATGCTGGTTATGAGGAGGGCTGGGCACTGAGCTATGTCTCTCCATTCTCCAGGTACCGCTCAAGATGTTCCCGCAGCTCCTCCGCCCACTCCAGCTGTGGATCATGTGGCAGGTCCCGGGACAGGTCTTCATCCTCATCATCAGCATCCTCCTACTCATCCAGGTCCACATCCTGCAGCCAGTCCCGATCCCGCTCCCCCTCACCCTGCAGGAGAAGTAACAGGCGGAGAAGGTGAGTATGGCCACCCTGCAGGGATGTGAGCTCCTCTGGACCTGGGCTCCTAGGTCCCAGACAGGGGTGGATCTACTCTTTCAGTATCTCCCTTGTATCTGGGATCACTCTCTCCTGGCACACCCCATGACCCTGTAGGTTATGTGTCCGGTTTCTGCCCCAACAGATACAGTTACGATGCGCAGGACCACTACCAAAGGCAGAGGATCCTCCAGAAGGAACGTGCAATAGTGAGTGCTGGAGAGCTGGGAAGCTGGGGCTGGAGATTTGGGGCTCTGCAGCTTCTCCATTGCTTCAGGAAGCCTGGCAGGCAGCATTACTGGGAGGCTCTGGGCTGGGCATGGTGTGATGGATGGATGGTGATGCCTGGAGAGAGCTTTGTACTAGAGGTCTTGCTCACCAGGGGGGCTTGGAGGTGCCGAGTCCCCCCATTCCCCATCTCATGGATGGTTCATCCATGCCCACAGGAGGAGCGGCGAGTTGTGTTCATTGGCAAGATCCCCAGCAGGATGACACGGTCGGAGCTGCGGCACCGCTTCTCTGTGTTCGGAGACATCGAGGAGTGCACCCTGCACTTCCGCTCGGAGGGGTAAGAGCTGCAGGGGCACGAGGCAGCCTCTTCCCAGGGGTAGCTCCGCTTTTCCCATTCCTCCTGGGGACAGTGCAGACCAAGGGAAGGACAAGCACTGTATTGCTGCTGATCTCCGTCCTTCTTCGCCTTCTCTGGTTCCAGGGACAACTATGGCTTTGTCACCTACCGCTACGCTGAGGAAGCCTTTGCTGCCATCGAGAGCGGACACAAGCTGCGGCGCCCGGACGAGCAGCCCTTCGACCTGTGCTTTGGCGGCCGCCGGCAGTTCTGCAGGAGGAACTACGCCGACTTGGGTGAGTTGTGCAGCCCCCAAGCTGGGGGTGGGGGGAAGTGCAACCTTGATCCACTCTCCTTCCCAGAGGTGAAGGGGTCTCCATCCTTGGGGTCAGTCAGGCTTGGCTGGGCAGGGCCACTTCCAGGGATAGTCTTGCCCCGAGGGCAGGTTGGACAGGACCTCCTTGTGCCTCCAGCACTGTGCTAGAGGCCAGGTCCAGTCCAGTGATCCTCCATTTGGTACGTGAAATGAGATGGGAAGAAGTTGCTGCAGGGATGGCCAGAACTGTGCCGGTGACCCTATAGCTCAAGGCAGCCTCTCCTCCTGTCTTCCAGACTCAAACCGAGAAGATTTTGACCCAGCCCCTGTCAAAAGCAAGTTTGACTCCCTGGACTTCGACACGCTGCTGCGGCAGGCACAGCGCAGCCTGCGGAGGTAGCGGCAGGCGAGGCGGAGCGCCCGCCCCACTTTTATACTCAAAATACAAAAGAAAAAAGTATGGAGAGAGAGAGAGAGAGAGAGATGGGGTTTTTAAGAAAAAGAAAAAGGAAAAAAAGAAATTTGTTTTATAACCAGTATTTAAGGAGGACGGGTCAATTGCCTTCGACCAGAGGGGCCCAGGCGAGTGGCAGCCCCAGGCTTGCCCTGGCCGTGTAATAAATGTGGATGCCCAAACAGCAGCGCTGCCTTGTCTCCTCCTTCACAAGGGGTTGGGCTGTGCCTCCTCAGGGGCTTTGTGCTTCTATCTGGCTCCATGAAAGATAGCGCAGGTCGGGGAGTGGGTGCAGGAGTGGGGTCACTGAGCTACTCTGAGGGGTGTGTAGCAGCCCCCAAATCGCTGGCACGGGGTGAAAGCCCCTTTGAGGACAGGCAGTGCAAACCCTCTGACCGTTTCTCGGCTTCTGCTGGACAGAGGACCTGGGGCCATCTGCACATCCCGTGGTGGCCACGGAGGGGCAGTGCAAGATCCTCCACTGCTGCTCCCTGCTGCGGGCGGGGGGGGGCTTTGGGCCCGGCCAAGAACACAGGGAGGGGTCTCCCTGCTCTGGGGGAAGCGTGTGCAGCCGCGGCTTCTGCCTGTCCCCTTTGAGCCTGCTGGTTGGTTTTGCTTCAGCTCACCGGGAGAGGTACCTCTAACATACTATCTCTGGGTGTCCCCCAGGGAGAGGTGTTGGTGTGACTGCAGAGAGGTCACAGGCATCCGCAGCAGGCAGAGCGCAGCGAGATGGTGCTTGGCAGAGGAATGACGTTCAGTGATGGGGAGGGGATGCAGGCCCTACCATCTGCAGGGGCTTGTGGCGGAGAATGGTGTTCCCAGGCAGTGCCCAAGCACTGAGCCAGCAGTACCAGTGCCCTGCACCCTGCCCCTGTGCCAGCAGCCAGAGAAATTCCCCACTGAAGGCTATTCCTGGACTGGAATGTTCTCTGGGCTGGAACAATCGCAGGGGTCCTCAGCATTGTAGTGAGGCTGAACTAGCAGTGCTGGCTGGAAACCCCAAGATGGTGTCGAGCACCCCAGCTTTGGGACTGCAACAGGCTCAGATAGGGTGTGGTGGTGCCTGTTTGGGCCTTCTTTCAGCATGTGCTGGGGTGGGGAATCCTGCAGCCACCCAGCTGGGGGTTCCCCCTGCTGGGGGGGAGGGGTGTGCAGCCGCGGCTTCTGCCTGTCCCCTTTGAGCCTGCTGGTTGGTTTTGCTTCAGCTCACCGGGAGAGGTACCTCTAACATACTATCTCTGGGTGTCCCCCAGGGAGAGGTGTTGGTGTGACTGCAGAGAGGTCACAGGCATCCGCAGCAGGCAGAGCGCAGCGAGATGGTGCTTGGCAGAGGAATGACGTTCAGTGATGGGGAGGGGATGCAGGCCCTACCATCTGCAGGGGCTTGTGGCGGAGAATGGTGTCCCCAGGCAGTGCCCAAGCACTGAGCCAGCAGTACCAGTGCCCTGCACCCTGCCCCTGTGCCAGCAGCCAGAGAAATTCCCCACTGAAGGCTATTCCTGGACTGGAATGTTCTCTGGGCTGGAACAATCGCAGGGGTCCTCAGCATTGTAGTGAGGCTGAACTAGCAGTGCTGGCTGGAAACCCCAAGATGGTGTCGAGCACCCCAGCTTTGGGACTGCAACAGGCTCAGATAGGGTGTGGTGGTGCCTGTTTGGGCCTTCTTTCAGCATGTGCTGGGGTGGGGAATCCTGCAGCCACCCAGCTGGGCACTGTAGAGCTGGGGGAGCATGGAGGGAAGGGGTGGGCAGAGGCTGGATCCTCACAGGGCCTAGGGTTGGAGGGGGCTGTTCAAAGTCCTCTCCAGACCCCTTGCTTGATGGAGACCCAGGTATGTGGGTGCGGTGAGGCTGCCAGCGGGCTGAGCCCCAGGGGTGAGCTCCCATCCTTTCCTCTCCTGCCTGGCCCTGGACTTTGCACAAGGGAGGGTCCAAGGAGGTGGCTGCAGGCAAAGGTGTGAGTGGGATGTGGTGGGGGGTAGGTGGGCAGGGGGCTGTTAATCAGTATTGCAGCTCTTCCCAGGGATATGGGCTGCGCAGGAGGGTATGAAAGCTGGTGCCCAGCAGCAATATGGGGAGAGGATGCAAGTGACCCTTTCTGGATCTCCTTTTGCTGCTGCACACATGCAGCCCCTCTCCAGCCCAGGGCAGCTGGGCTGATCACTGTGCTGACAAGCATCTCCCTGTTCTCTGAGCTGCCACAGCAAGAGTGTTTCAAGGAAGAGTGCCTGTTCAACCAGCTGCAAAAACACCTGCAAGCTGTAGACTGATTCAGGTCTGAAGAAGGACTTGTGAGCCCAAAGGCTGGGTTCTGGACTTTGCACAAGGGAGGGTCCAAGGAGGTGGCTGCAGGCAAAGGTGTGAGTGGGATGTGGTGGGGGGTAGGTGGGCAGGGGGCTGTTAATCAGTATTGCAGCTCTTCCCAGGGATATGGGCTGCGCAGGAGGGTATGAAAGCTGGTGCCCAGCAGCAATATGGGGAGAGGATGCAAGTGACCCTTTCTGGATCTCCTTTTGCTGCTGCACACATGCAGCCCCTCTCCAGCCCAGGGCAGCTGGGCTGATCACTGTGCTGACAAGCATCTCCCTGTTCTCTGAGCTGCCACAGCAAGAGTGTTTCAAGGAAGAGTGCCTGTTCAACCAGCTGCAAAAACACCTGCAAGCTGTAGACTGATTCAGGTCTGAAGAAGGACTTGTGAGCCCAAAGGCTGGGTTGCCTTCTCCAACTGCTTTAGCTAGTCTCAAAGTTTCTTCACAGCCTTTCCTTCTGCTGCAGCTGTGGACGCAGGTGGGAGCTGGGAATGTCACAGGAAAGCTGAAGGTGGGTGTGGAAGACATCCCCTGGCAGAACAACCCCTGGGACCCCCAGGGATGTGCTACACCATGGACCTGAGGTGTGTGCATTTGGGCAGCACTGTGAGCATGGTGTCACCCCAAATATGTGTGCTGTTTACTACAGCACCAGCGTAGCTGTGTCCTTGTGTTCCTGGGGCTGGGCTGCACATGATCCCCTCTCCTTGTTCCTGTGGGTGAGGGAAGGCACAGAGTGTGAAAGCGTTTGTGTTGCCAAAGAATTAACACCCTGCTGTTGTGCCCTGTAAATCTTTCAAGTGTTAGAGGCTGACTTTATTCCCCTACATTACAGTTTAATGGTTTCCGTTAGCAATAACCTGGCCCTGTGTTCTGGGGTTATTGATTTAAGGTCTGCTGTGGAGGGTGTGAGAGTTGCAGAAAGGTGTTTTCCTGCCGCCCAGCCGGCGGCAAAGGCGCCGTTGCAAAGTGGAAGCAGGAGAGTGGGAAGCAATGCACAGCTAGCTCTGGAAATGTGGTGGGAGCTGTCTGGAGAGGATCAGGGGACAGCGGTGAGGAGCAGCATTTCGAGCACGTTTCTCACTCAGACCTGCAGCTGCAGAGGTGAGTCCTGGCAGGACAGCCTGGATGAGCTCTAACACAGGTGGGATGTGCCTGTCTTTGGCTCTTGATGGAGTTGTTGCCTGTGTTACTGGCCTCTGTCTTGACAGATGGCAGCTCTGCGTGCCTCCCCCATGCTAGCTGGATCAGCCTGTTGCACTGCAGACAGCCCCTTTTAGGAGTACCTTCCTTCTCCCTTCCTCTCCACATTCTCTCTTGCATCAGTATGTCCTGAACACAATCTGCAAGCTAGAAAGGAGCTAAAAGGGTATCCAGAGTGGTCCTTCATCATGGGTAAAACTTGGAAGATGAGGGGCCTGTGCCTGGGTCTGGAGTAGCTGTGATCTTGGTGACATGGCATAACATTCTCACTAGAGCAAGGGGAATTGCAGTAATTGGTGACCTGATGGGACTTGGGGTTGGTGTTGGTCTCAGGGACCACAAGTGCTTCAGCTGAGTTGTTGCACATACACAGGGATAATTTTTTTTCTCTTTGCAAAAGATTGCTTGGACACCATGTGCAACAAGGCATAGAGCTAGCAGAAAAGTCACATGGCAGCACCTTCTACACTTCAGATTCAACATAATATGTTTGACATGCTCAACCTGAAAGCTGACAGGGACAGCCACGGGGAGAGGTGCCAGGCACTAACCTGCCTCTACAATGCTCCTTGCTCTTTGCACATATCCCCCTCCTTGGGACCACCAGCCCTTGAGATTCAGGCTGGGTCAGCTCAGAGATTCTGACCCAAAGGAGAGGCTGTTGCTGTGTCATGGCCTGGGCCTCCTGCACTGGAAGCCTCACAGGGGTACCCAGCTTAGGGTACCTGCAGAGAGAGACCACGGGAGTTTGGTGCTGGGATCACTGGAAATCCTGGATCAGAGGAGTCCCTGACAGCTGAGACAGATGCTTGTGCCTCTACATCACGGAGAGCCTGCAGGTTTGGGGCTCCCACACTCTGCTCTTTTACACATCCATTGTCCCAAATCCCTGCCTGCCTGCAAGCAAGCCCTGGAGGCCAGCCAGCAGTTGTGCGTGCTTTAAATCTGTGCTTGTACAGCTGAGAGCCTGGGTTAATTCCCATGTTCCCTCTTACAGCTGCTTTTGCAGTCATCCTGTGCACTTGTGTTCACATCGGAACTGTCCTCCAGGGTCACCTTGTAGTCAAGTGTCCTGTAGTTGTGAGTAAAGATGCAGTGAATGTTCTGTGGTTGCCTCTTCAACCAGGCACTTGCTCCATTCACCACACCAACCAGGCATTGCAAATGTTCCTTGAATCCTCTCAGCAAAAAAGCTGCAGCTATAATATGCCACAGGAAGCAAGCAAAGTGATTAAGGGACCATCAGGTCTGCAGCCTGACGAGGGCAGAGAATTTGTGAAAAAAATTACATAGGATCTAGAGAATAGACGTGAACTTGGAGAAGCACAAAAAAATAAAATACCCCAAAATCCCCAAACCACACAAAAAATGCAATCACAATTCTTCTACTAGTCCAGGAAAATTCCCTCCTGACCCTAATCTGGCAATAGCATTAAGCCTAATGTGTGAGCAGACCTCTGGGACTGTAATGCTGGGAGCACCATGAAGTGCAAAGCTCATCGTTAGTGCTCCGTAAGAAGAAAAACCTTTAGAAGTGAAATAAGGGGGGAAATTTTTTATTCCTCATCTTCACAGTGACCAGCAGAAACCTGGAAGCCTGGGTTTGAAGCAGCACCTTCTCCAAGCAAACTTAGCTCTGCTGACTCTTTGGCCAGCCAGGAGCTGTGTCT